GGGCTGGCTCTGTCCCTGGTGTGTGTGCTCTGTGGGCAGCAGGAGGGGCGCAAAGGGACGTGTTTGATTTGGGCAAGATTTGATCAAACTCTTGGAAACAGGTTTCAGATGGCAGGGAAAGCTGAAACCAGGCGTGCTAAGCCTGGCTTGTTGCTTTTGTTCCCGAAGCTGTGCTGGGCTCTGAGCTTTAGGAATCCCAAACTGGAGGTGAATGGCTGGAGGACATCACCAAGGCTGGATTCTCCTCCATGGGAAGGAACTCCCCATGCACCCAGCACCCAGCAAAGCCCATGGAATTATAATTGTTTGGAAGGGACCCACAGGGATCATCCAGTCCAGCTCCTGGCCCTGCACAGAACACCCCAAGTTACACCATGCAGAGCTGGGTGAAGCCCATCATGCTCCTCATACACTTCAGTATCTCCAAACCAGCAGAGACAGAATTTAGATTAAAAACTCTCCATCCCCCATGTGTTTCTCAGGTCACAAAGCCAAGCCTTGCCCACAAACACGTCTGCAGAGCTTTTCACCCACGTTTGGTTTTACCCATGTGAGTTTTACAGAGCTGTGGGACCCCGCTGACCAAACCAAGGCTTCAGGGAGCCTTTGCAGGCTCAGGGCTTTGGGGCTGCTCTGTCCTCTGCAGAAATGTGAACAAGCAGCTACGATTTAACAGGAAAAAATAGATGATGTTTCAACCCTAAATCTGCCGAGTACAACATGTCTTCAAGGAGAAGCCTTGAAATGCACATTTGGGCTGCTTTTGGTGTTTAAATAGAAACTCTCCTCTGGCATGGGGGTTTTTTTTTATTTGAAAACAGACTGTTTGCTTCTCCATGACCTCTCCCTGGGAATCACTTTTAAGTCTCCCCTGTTTTGACATGTTGTTTGTGCAGAGCTCAGCGTTCACCTTCCTAAACCGAAACCTTATCCCCCCGCTACTGAAAAATTGATTCTGGGTCTGAACAAACCCAACCCCACGGACCCTGCAGGAGAAAACAGGGAGGGATCAGGGAGAGATATTTGCTGTTGCAGAGATAAACCCACGTTTTTTCACCTCCCTCGCCCTGCTCGTGGTGTCTCGCCTAAGGAAGTCACCTCCACACAGGTTTTCACGAGTGATTCAGTGTAAAAATTGGGGTTAGAACTGTTTTCTCAGCCCGACTCTGACTCATCTTCCCATGGCAGGCGGGAGCAGGAGCTGCTGTTTAACCAGGCAAGGAGGGGAGGGATTCCTGGGTGGTCCCTGAAACCACAGAAAGCAAAGCATTAAAATGTAACATGAGGATGAAGGGAAAGGGGCACTGAACCACTTTCTCCCAGTGTTATCTGGAGGCAGCAGATGGGGAACAGAGATAACAAGGGTGGCTGCTCATTTTTCCGTGCCCTCTCCAGCCAAATCCAGTAAATAATGAAGTGTAATTTGCCAAATAGCCCTTGAATGTGGGATTTTCTTTCGAAGGTCCTGATGCTGCCACTGTGGCAGCAATCCTGGATTTATGTGGGGAGGAACTGGGTCCCCAGAGACTTGGGGTCAGGAATTTTACTGGTCCTGCCTGAGCAAAGAGTCTGCAAATCATTCCTTGAGTGCCTTGGTGACTGAGGTGGGAGGGGGTTAAAGAGAAGGGCTGATTTTAGCCTGGATTTTAGTGGGGGCTGAGAGGTGGAAGGGGCAGAAATGGAGGCAGAGGAGTTGCTCTGTTTGGCTTGGCAGTGGAACTGCATTCATTGCATCCAGAGGATGATTTGGGGCTGCTTTGGTCACGGTCACCCTCACCCTGTGCTACAGAGCTTATCCATGGAATCACAGAGTCTTTTGTGTTGGAAAAGCCCTCCCAGATCATCCAGTCCAACCATTCCCCCAGCACTGCCCTCCCACCACCCAACCACGTCCCCAAGTGCCACATCCACATGTCTTTTGAACAGTTCCAGGGATGGTGATTCCACCAGTGCCCAATAATCCTATTGGCCCAACCCTGAGATTCCCACTTGGAAAAAAACCCCCCACATTGTGTTGTTTGGCCTTGAAGTGATGCCCAGGAGTTTGGCTGTGGAGGATGTGGGTGGAGCAGGACCCCCAGACTGGGTCAGACTGGGAAGCAGCTCTGCTGCACTGGGGACTGCAGCACTGTGTCCAGCCTTGAATCCATATTTTGTCAGGGATTCACTCAACATTGTCTAAAACAAGCACTGACCAGCATTTTGCTCATTAAATCAGAGCTGAAACGAACTTAGAGCCATGGAAATCCATGGTGGCATTCCCACAAAACAGAGAATTCTTTGATTTTTCATGTCCATGTCCAGATGTTCATGAAAACACCCAAGAGTTTGCCCGTGTTGTCGTTTTTCCACTGAGTTTTCATGGAAAAACTTCCACTAGGCTACGGTGCTAAACCAAGCTCAGGGGGAAGATTTCCATATGAGGCCGGTAAAGTTCAGTTTTTGGGATGGTGGCTGTGGGAGGCTTTCCTTCTCCATCAAAGATGTTTTTCAGGAATACTTATAAAGTAGGAAAGAGAGCCAAACCTTTATTCTAATTTTTTTCTCAAACAGTTGCTTTTGTCTGTGAAACTCTTTGGCTACAAATATCCACCTCCTTCCAAACAAATCAGAAAAAGGCATTAAAAAAAAAAAAAGCAGAATGAGGTTTGCTTCTCCTCAGGGCTCACTGCAGGCCTGGCTTGGCCTGGCCCCTGTCTCCCATAGGGTGGCTGCACGTCCTTCCTGACTCCCCTGGGTCTGTCATTGGGTGCCACAGGCTAGGCATGATGTAGCTCTGGGTTAATGAGGGATTTTCCAGCTCTTTGTTTTCCCTTCCTCCTCAAATGAGTTTTCTGCTGGTTCCCCATCCTTTCTCAGCCCGCTGGCAGCTCCCTTTTTCATGGAGTCATGGAATCCTGGACTGGTTTGGGTTGGAAGGGACCTTAAAGCCCATCCAGTGCCTCCCCCTGCCATGGGCAGGGACACCTTCCACCAGCCCAGGTTGCTCCAACCTGGCCTTGGACACTTCTGGGGATGGAGCAGGCACAGCTTCTCTGGGCAACCTGTGCCAGGGCCTCACCACCCTCCCAGGGAAGAATTTTCTGGAATAAAGGATTTTCTAAGACTCTTTAATTTTCCCCTTGTTTGTCTCTGGACTGGGACAATGGAGCGGGAATTCAGGGATACTTTTTTCCCTCTTTTCTTGCTCACCCTGGTGTGGGATTCTTTGCCTTCCTTGGTGTCTGGAGCTGCTCAGCTTTGTCCCAGGCTCCAGACACTCCTGGGCTGATGAAGCCCAGCAGGTTGATGTCTGGAAAGGTCTTTGGTCTCACTGTCCAATTCCAGCAGCACATTCCATGTGCACCATGTCACCTGGCCAGCATGACTCCTGGCCCCTTTCCCACTCCTGTGTCCTCATGGCCATCTCTCTCCCCTGCTCTTTTGCAGACATGGAATGTGCCGATGTGCCTTTATTAACTCCCAGCAGCAAGGAAATGATGTCCCAGGCACTGAAAGCCACGTTCAGCGGCTTCGCCAAGGAGCAGCAGCGGCTGGGAATTCCCAAAGGTGAGACAGGCTCTTCCCAGTGAGCAGCCCTGGTATCCACAGGGATTGTGTCCTCCAGCCAGACTGCCTGGAATTCTCCATGAATTCTCCAAGTCTGCCATCCCTTTGTTGGTTCTCCTCAGGTGGGATTGCCTTGTTTCTCGGCAGCTTCAGCTGGAAAAATGTGGATAAGTCATCTCCACTATAGGGAGAAGCAGTAGGGAGTACAAGTCAAACTGGTGACAGGGAGAACCCAAAAAATCAGAGAAAAAGGGTGGGAGAAGGGAGTCAGAGAACTGATGGGATTATTGGAAGTCCCAAACAAATCCAAAGCTGATTGTCTGCAATATGTGTTCAATGGGGCTGAGCCAAACTGGGTGTGGTGTTCCCTCCCCACCCTGGTGCCAGTGGGCTGCCAGTCTCCATGGACTGAGGCTGTGCAGCTGGAGCACTGTCTGTGCCCTGTTTTCCTGGGAAAGCTGCTCGTGGTTGCTCACTCTTGGATCCCTCCTCAGATCCCCAGCAGTGGACGGAGACGCACGTGCGGGACTGGGTGATGTGGGCGGTCAACGAGTTCAGCCTCAAGGAGGTGGATTTCCAGAAGTTCTGCATGAATGGAGCTGCCCTCTGTGCCCTGGGCAAGGAGTGCTTCCTGGAGCTGGCGCCTGACTTTGTGGGAGACATCCTTTGGGAACATCTGGAGATCCTGCAGAAAGGTGAGGCCTGTGAGTCTCGGCAGGGAGTGATTCCCACTGTCCTGGCCAGCCTGGTTTTGGGGCTTTCCAAAGAGCACTGAGTGTTCACCTTGGCCTTTAATGCCAGGAAAAACATCCTACAAAGCCCAGCTTTCCAGTAGGATTCCAAATGGGCATCCCCACTGATAGTGGGCAAAGCAAATCCTGGCACTACTTGAAAGGGGCAGAGCGTTTGTGCCGGATGCTTGGCAGGAACCCACCGTGGGCAGGGACACTCTGCCTGCCTGGAATCCATGGTGGGATTTTCCAGAGCGTTTTTCCTCAGCTTGTTCAACTCCTGTTGTGAATTTTAGTGCTTCCTCCAGGAGAACTGGGCACAAAAGCACTGCCAAGATCCCACCCTCGTTTCCTAGCGGTGATTGGAAGCTGCTTTGCTTTCTTTTGTGTCCCAAAAAAGGTGTTTCATGTCCCAAAAAGGGTGTTTCACATCCCAAAAATGGCATTTTTGGGAGGAGAAGCCATCTCTGCCAGTCCCTGTGTGACAGCATCCAGTTGTCACTGGCTGGGGACACACAGGTTGATTTTGGCTGTTGATTTTCAGTGTCTGGATGCCCAGGAAATGCTGGGATTGTTTCCAAAGAGCAGGAGAAGAGCTGAACACCTTGGCCTGGGCCATGAGCAGGAGCAGCAGCCCCCGGGCTCCTTTTCCAGCTCCTTTTTGTGCAGAGCTCTTTGCTTTCCTGGAACATCCCCTGTGCTGTCCTACTGACCCTGGTGGCAGGAAGGGGAGGGGGAGCCCAGTTATTCCTTCTAGGAAACCATTGACAAATGGCTGCTAATTGCCAATTACTAATTTTACTGCTACCTGTGGTTTTCAGAAGGTAAACACAGGCTCTGGGGAGGACAGGCTGTTTTTCTGCTCTCTCACTCTTTATCTGGGCTGTTCTTCTTTGGCTTGTTTTTTGTTGAGTGCTTACATCAACAGCAGGTACTTTAACCAAACAGAGCAAAACCTTGTGGTCAGGCCCATTTCTCCTTGCTATGAGCCATTCCTTGTACCTTCCCACAACCTTCCTGGTGTCCCTGGAGGTGACAGAAGGGTGGAACAAGATGATCTTTAAGCTCATTTCAAGCCAAACCATTTGGTGGTTCTGTAATTCTGTGATTTTTGGGGCTATAACTCACTGGAGAGGGGTGGGATGTGCTGCAGGTACTGGCTGAGGCATCAGAGCTGGGTGTGCAGCTCCTTCCTGTAGATTCCCCACACGTGGAGATGAACTTGGAGCTGTAATTCCACAGGAAAGTGGGAATCATGTTTTCATATAGCACTGACAAACACCAGGGTGTTGAGACACTGCAGTCTTGAGGATACCAAAGGTCTGGGATAGCCAGGAGCTTTCACAAAGCAGCTGGAAACCTTTGCTCCTGTTGTAACTGTTCTTCCAAAAGGCAGGAAAAGGATAAAGCTGAATTTCTGAGTGTCTCCACACTTTTAGCGTAGCCCTGGGAACCAAGAAATCTCCTTTCTGTGTTTGGCTTTCCTGGGGACTTTGTCCCTCTTGCACAAGCTGAGCCCTCTCTCCTCTGGTGGGTTCTGAGCACGTTTCCCAGCAGGGCAATATCTGTGAAGTGTTTGGGGTGTAACCAAGGACTTCTAAGAAATAACTCTGAGGCTTGGTTTCTGTTCCCTGGGGGCCACAGGGCTCGTGTCAGTGGCAGCTCATCTCCAACCCCTGCCAAGGCCTGGGCTGTGCTGGTGCTGCACAAACAGAAGGTGCAAAGTTGTCCCTGACAGGTCTTTCCCCAGCCAGGAGGAGCTGGGGGGCTGCACTTTGCTCCTGGGGATGGGATGTGTGGAGAGATCAGGGTCAAACTTGTCTCTCCATCCTCCCCATCCACCCACCAGCATCCCTTGGGGGTGTTGGTGCTGGGGGTGGTGGTTAACCCCAAAATGTTTGGCTTTACCTGCCCCTGTCCCTGGGGTTGTGCTGGGACAGGCTGTGACCTCGCTGTCCCCTGGGCTGACCTCCCCTGGGAGCTCTGAGTGACTCACCTACCACAGACTGCTCAGGGTTATAAAAAGGTAGCAGATGGGCCACTTTTCCCTGCTTGGATTTGGGTATTTTCAGGCGTATTTTCCCAAATTTCTTCCTAAAATAACCCCCTCGGTTCCCAGCAGTGAGTGTGAGCACAGCCCAAGGTTGCTCTCCTGCTCTGTGGTCACCCACCCTGTGCCTTGGCAGCCACCACGGGGAGAGCAAAAGAGCTTTTCTCATTAGTTCTCTGTGTTTGCACAAACCCTCCTTTTGTTAGGGAATATTTTCCACCCTGCAATCCCCAGGAGAGGGGACCAAAATTAGGCTCCTCGCGAGCGAACGTGCGTTGTCTTCGCTCGGCTCCTCTTGAGCATCGGCAGAGACAAACCCAGCCCAGAGCTGCCCGGGGGGGGTTGTTTTGGTTGCCCTCTGCAAAGGAAAGAAAATCTCCCGTGCCAGGATCTGTGCCCACAATGCCATGTTGGAATGAGAAAGGTGTTCATGGAAAAACTGCTCGGGGGAGGAGCAGCTTTTGTGTGGGAAAGCAAATCCAGCGCCAAGCCCGGGAGCACCGAAGGGCTTGGAAAAAGCAACAGGGAGCAGGGAATCTGTGCTTTGATGTGCTCTGTGCTCTTTCCCAGTGAATTATGCCTATAGAGAGGCTAAAATTTGGCATCCTGCCCACACATACACAGTAGAGTCTGGGCCAGGAGTTGGGTCATGGACAGTGGGACAAAGCGTTTTTGGATGTGGAATGTTCTCCCTGCATCAGGTGCTGCATAGGCTGGGAATTAGCATTAATTAGGGCTTAGAGGAGCTGGGTTTGGTATGTGTTACCCACTCCCTTGCACACACCTACTGCTGGTCTAAAAATAGGGGGTTTCAGGGAAACAACTGCCCTTGTAAGGTGAGGTTTTTCAGGAGCTCACACATGGAAGCGTGATCAGCAACCCTCGGGAGGATGGAAGACAACAAAGACCAAGGCAAGCAAGGAAATGATGCAACTGGTGTTTCAGAACCACCTGGAGCCTCTGATTGAGAAAGTTGTTGCTCTTTGGGTCGGGTTGGTTTGCTTTAAATCTGGCCATACTTTCAGCAAGAATTCCCAAAGTGCATCAAGTTTCTGTGGGATTTCAGCTCTTAATTAATTTCTGTTCCTTTGAACGTCCCAGTTTAACCCAGAGAGGAGCATTTTAGGAAGTTCAGACCTCTCTGTGTTACAACAAGTCTTGCAAAGCACAAGTGTGTGACATTTCCTTCCTTTCCTCTTTGCAGAAGAGGTAAAACCATACCCAGCAAATGGAGCGAACACGACGTATCCCGAATCCCGCTACACCTCCGACTACTTCGTTAGTAAGTCTCAATTAGCAGTGTCATTCCAGTGCTTCCAGGCATGGAAGTGCCTCCTGGGAGAGATTTGTCTGCATCACATGAGGACTTGTGCAAAGTCGTGTTGAGCCGAGGGTTTATTTAGGAGTCATCTGTATTTTTGGGGTCTGGTTTTGCAAGTGATGTTTGTTTGAAGCTGTAGCTCAGCAGACCTTGAAAGAGACCTCATCACTCCTGAGTACTGGGAATTGTTAAAAACATATTTAAAAAGGAAGGGAATGGGGGAAGAAGGCTTGATTCTGGATTGCTAGGAAGGAGCCTGGCAAGGAAAGGGATGAGTCCTCAGTCTGCACTCCTGCCCTTCCCATTGCTGTTTGTTTGGAGATGTTCTGGAAGAAGATTGGAAATCTGGGAGGTATTTCATGAACCAGCTAAAAACCCCAGCTGACCTGGAGAGGGGAGATTTCGATGAGGTGTTAGGGAGACATCCTGCCCTGGGAGGGTGGGGAGGCCCTGGCACAGGGTGCCCAGAGAAGCTGTGGCTGCCCCATCCCTGGAAGTGTCCAAGGCCAGGTTGGACGGGGCTTGGAGCAACTTGGGCTAGTGGAAGGTGTCCCTGCCT